TTTGATCGAATCCCCTACTTAGCAGTTGCCTGTATGAATGGCCATGCTCCTCGTTATTCTCACGTTAGTCCGTGGTTACAAGTGGACCTGTCGTGTTCAAATTTTCATAGTTACGACGCTGCAGTTGTCGTTCGTAATAAATTGTGATTAATCCAGCATATTATGACAACAAAATTCAACGTAAGTTAAACCATAATTTAAAGCACACAATCAGGTCCTGATTGTGTATCGTGGTGCATGTAAACCATTTTGTTATGACGCAATAAAACGGTTTCTAGATCTGGATTTAATAAAGACGACGACCTCGGCCAGGAAGGGATTGGTGTGGCGTGCACACCATGCCACGGCGCACCGTGACGTCTAATTTACGACAGTCACTTGTTAGTGCGCAACAAAGCCAAGGTCTAAATAAAATGTACACGTGACAGTTGCGGCCAGCGGCTTCAAATGTCGGCCGTGTCCTCTACCCTGCTGCCCCTAAACTGTTGTGTTTTATGATGCATTTATTTTAAAATGTATTTAGTGGTTAATTTAGTTTGCGACTCTACAGAATTAAATGTAGCTGCTTCCTAAGTTGATCTTATGAAACGTCTCCACCTCGGGAAACTAAGTCGAAGGCTGAATGCACTGGTGATTAGTCTGGGAGCCTTAGTGATTGTCTCTGGTTTGGATGACTGGTGTTTGACCCCAGACAGGGGCCGGGGATCTGTCTATTCGCCAACACACCCAGGCCGGATCAGGAGCCGACGCAGAGGGTATCCTACTGTTTCCTCTGAATGTAAAGCTGTCCACTTACCTTCATCTAGTGCCGATTTTGAGAATTAGTAGGCCTTTACCTCCATGTTCCATGTTGTTTATGATGTAGTTCTTAAGCACAGAGGCACCTTTACAAAAAAAAAACCCGTTAAAGGTCAGATATTTTGGAACCTCGTATTGACATTCAACGTGTCTGATGCTTATTGTTTATAGTTTATTTAACAGTGCTTTTTCAGTAGTTCAGGCTGCACGGCGTTGGCACAGAATGCTCGTTGTTGCAGCACTTCTTAAGATTAATTTCTGCTGTCCTCGTATAATTAATTTAGTCATTTAACGCGCTGCTGTGCGCCACTGTGAAAGAAGAGAACGTATTTGAAATAAAAGAAACACGACAATTCATGGAGCAACTTTCTTCTGAATCTGAGACAGTCGATTTGTCTGGCCTGCCGGACACCACAGACTTGTTCTTATGTATTTTTTAAACGTGACTTCACGGGTTCGCATCGTCGCCATGTTTGTCCTTAACGAACCAGAAACATTTTACACGGTTTGTAGTCTCACACAATAGAAAATTTCACGTAGTAAACAAAGCGATTTCACCTGATATGGTTACCGGATAATGGGGTATTAGCCGTGTTACTACTCCACGTTTAAGCTTAAGCATGAGAAGGGTAGGACATTTACCTCACGAGGGGAAACAAGAAATACAATCGAAATTTATTCTGGCCCTAAAGAGAAGTGAGATATAGGATGATAATAGTCAAAGTTTGGGTTAAGCGATCGGAATTATATTCCAAACGCAAGCAGGAATTTCTTTCTTTCCCGCATTACCGGCCTGTCAGCTTCAATTGGTGCCGAGGATGCTAATACTTGGAGCTTTGCCTCCACACTCCCTTCTTTACTCTTAAGTGAAGCATAAGAAAATTGGCTTAAATTTATCCAGAAATTTACACCGGTGTTTGAACCCGGTGTTATGGGTTTAGACCAGCTGTGTGCAGTTGCCTAGGGCGGGATGTGATGGTCGAGTCTCAAGCGGCGCTCCAGACTTGTTCTCTGATCTCCCGGGAGCATATCAGATTTTAATACGTGATAATGTCTCATGCCGTTACGCAGTGACGCAAGCATCGCCCAGTTCCGGGATAAAGGCGAGCCCTGCGTGTTTGTTTAGCTACGGTGTTTACTTAACTCAACGTGATTTGTTTGAATACAGTCTTCAGTTGAATACTGAACAAAGTATTACAATGTAAGGGTAAGGGTCTGGAAGGAGGCGATTATGGCCTGTTTCAAAATACTCGCCCGACATTTACCTGTGTCTCGGGTTCGATTCCCGGCGGTGCCCGAATTTATAACTTGTGTTGGGCAAGGCCGTGGTCTAGGCAACACGGAGTTTTCCTCCGTGGCATCCCAACAATTACTCCATTCACACACAGAAGAAGGCAATGGCAAACCACTTCTGGATCATCTGCCAAGAACGTATATGAACAGGTCCCAGTCCGAGAAAAGGATGGAGGGATCCTGTTCATATGGACCTGTCGTCAGACAGAACACTGAATAATAAAAAAGGCTAAGGAAGGCAAAGAAGAAATTCAGATTGAATGGCCGGTAGCTCGATGAGAGGTGATAAGAACCTCTTCGATAGTGTAGTCTACGGCGTCTAACTGAGAAGCAATCAGTCCTGCCGCGATGGACCTCTCTAGAGGTGAAGTGCAGTTGGTGGGAGACAGAAGTTAGCAGCCACGTATTATGCAAAGCGGGCCCCCAGTTGTAAATGTCTTTCTCTCATTTTCTATTTAAGTGCTTCTCTGTGGCATTTTGGACCCTCAAGCTTTTAAGTGAGACAACACAGTCATCCAGTTCAGTACACGAAGAAAATAGGCTTCTCACGGCGATGAAGATGGCGATGATTCTTCTGGGTCGTCTAGACTGTTTGGTAGTTACCAATGTTTCATTTAGAGATACTGCCTCGGTCTTCAGGGCGACAGGATATCGTCAACTAGAAACTGTGTTTTAAGTCTGTTTCCCCGAGTTTATTCCAGCTACTTTGTAAATGCCTACCGCATTATCCCGAATGTCTGTTTCTTATAAATCCGTCGACGGCAGTAGCGAAAGGAACCTTAGATGATTCTACTTTTTATTGCTGAAACGCATTCAAACACATAGGCCTTTGTCCTGAGCTGGATTTGCCTGCTCTGAAAACAGAAGCGGTAGGCTCATCCGAAACGCCTACAAGACTACAAAGCATCACAAACCGGAAGGCCACAATCCGGGCATAAGCTTGCTGGATGATGACTCCGTGTTTAAGCGAGCTAAGTTACCGGCATTTCGGGAATTCTGGCTATCGTATGTCGTAAAGGCGGAGTCTTTTCCCAGCATTTTCATGTAGAGGGTACTAAATAGTAGCACCAACAGCTACGCCATGAGGCTCGATAGCCTAGATCTTGCTAAAAACCCGAGAGGAATCCCATAGGCCTATCGCGTGACTTGCAGTGGTCGAGTTTCTCATGAGCGGGTCAGCGGCAGTAGTTTGCATAATCCAGCGTCGTTTCTTTAGACTTAAGTGCCATTCATTTTCTGGTTTATGGCCTGTTGATGCAACTGCCTTTTTTATTTTGGTGTGGGGATTTGTTTAGATCTTTTATCTCCACGAGCTCTGCTTGGCTAGAATCTCCGGTCCATTTCAAGGCTGGGAAGATCCCAAGAGGTCTCCCTTGCGCCATTTTTCCACGATATTCCGAAAATCGTGTTCTGATTTGGTTACATATTTGTATTTAAGCGTCATAAATAACAC